CTGGCGAGCTCGCTTTGGCGATCTGGTGCTGGCTAACGCAGGTGAGCCGGCGCTGGCGAGCTGGCAGGCTGGCTGGCGCTGGCGAGCTGGCGCGGGCTAACGCTGGCCGGCGACAGGGACGAGCTACGAACGAGCGGGGTCGGGGGGGGGGGGGATCGGCGACAGGGCTGATTTTATCAGACTATTTTAGTATGATTGTCTGAAATTTCAGACCCATTTTTTTGCCAATCCTGATTTTCCAGACTTAGGCTTTTCTAGATACTGAACCCTCTAGAGTTGTAAGATTTTGGATCCTGAAGTTTTCAGAGTAGTCGTTGTGCGGATACTGAGGTTTCAGAGTACATCGCGTATGGACTCTGAATGCGACATCCATGCACCTTGTACTTTCCACGAGATTTCCTCTACTACGTCATATGTTGCCTTCCATCATTTCACCCCCGCACGTCTCACGTAAAGTATCTGCACTTGGCAGGCTTCCCGCCCCTTCTGTGACTGTGATGCTGCCTCAACAGGGACTTTGCCGCTCAGCGCGTCATGCGTCCTGCCACGCGTGCATGCTAAGGACTTCTACACGGGTTTGTTGGAAGCCATCAAAGGCTAGTAACGCGGGAATCTTGTCATCGCTGGCATGTGCAAAACTGTCCGACCAACCGTGATTGGCGACAGTCCATGCCAACACATGGTTCGTTCGTAACGTCAGCTCATGTTTGGCATGGCGGCGCGGGTTTGGAAGGGGCTGCCATCCAGAAGCTGACGACGAGGGTTAACCAAGAAACACGTGCCTCAGGCTTGATGGTGCCCTTCTTCTTCGTCCCTCTCATCCCTCCCCCTCCTCTCAGGCGCACTCAGGCTTTTACACGGGGTTTGTAAATCTTACTCCTCAATTCGTGTTTCGGAGTTGTCCTCCTCATGTAGGTTCTTGTTTGTCAACCCCATCAACAGCCATGACGGGGACTCCTTCAGAAGAAGACGATGAGCCCCGCGCCGATGAACCACCTCATAGTAAGGAGCCTGCAGAGGTTCGTCGCTCCGCGATAGACATGCTGCGGTCGTTAGGTTCTCCTCCCATCGTTGCTGTTGTGGTTTTCTCCGCAGTGGAGGAAACCCAGCGTGCTCTAAACCCACCTCCGTCCGCGCCCTTCGTGCCACCACCATATGTCCCTCCGCCTGCCGTCGCCTCATCCAGCAGAGGCCCGACTCTGCCCGTTAACTGCGTCACCGCCACCACAGTCCACTACAGCGTGCCCTCCGCGTCCATGATTTCGTCTGCGAAGAAACAACGGACGGGCAAGTACACCCAGTCTCAAATCATGATCGGAGGTAGGCTCCGCCGCCCGTCCACGCCGCCATCACCTAGTGCAGTCCCTGTCGTCATTGAACCGCCACCGCCAAAGCTGAGTAAGAAGGAATCGATAGAGCAGAAATACCTCGTCGCTGAAGCAAAGTACAAAATTTCATGGCTGCCTTTCTTTCCATGGCTACTGCTAACCAAAACAAAAGACAGTTACCCTGCTCTCAAGTGCAGTGTGTGCATGACGTTTGGGAAGGAGACCACCAAGTACGGCTCTTCGGGCGATGGTGGCCGAGACCTGCAGACACAGACCATGCGCATACACGAACACTTCTCTGCACACAAGGAAGCTGTGGAGGCCCAGCTGAAGATTGCCGACGACATCGCCGATGGGCAGAAGAGGATCGACAACTATTTGTCGTTGGATGTCGAAGGGAGGCGGGTCGTGCGACTGCTCCGCGCTGTTGAGTTTCTCTGTAAGGTCGATGCTCCCATCAGCATGTTTCCTCGGCTATGTCGCTTTATGGCTGAGCAGAACACCCCGGACATACCGCTCCAGTCTTATGGTGTTTACCTCACTTTGTAAGTACCCGCGAGTACATTCCATTACTATGGCCCGTTGGAATATTTTAACAATTACTCTCTCTACTGCGTGCAGGTATGGCTTTCAACAGATGGTCCACTGCTTGGCGACTCTTCTTCAACGGACCCAGATGCGGCACATTCAATCGTCCCCGTTCATCGGCATCAGTTGCGGCGAGAGCACTGATCGTACCAGAGGGAAGCACCTGATAGTGTACCTCACGTTCCTCCGCCATCGCCGCGTCGTCACCGAGTTTTTCTCGTTGCTCACCGTCGAGAAGTGCGACGCTGCCTCCATGCTCTCCGTGCTCCTCACTCATCTTCAAGGCGCCAGCATCGAACTCAACTACATCGCGGGAATCAGCACCGATGACGCTTCCGTCATGGTTGGGCGCGAGAACGGTCTCGTGGCGCGGCTCCGCGAGCACATCCCTCACCTTGTGTCGTCCCACTGCATCGCCTACCGGTATAATCTTGTTCACTTATGTTCTCGCTTTTTTCTTTTAATCGTTTGCTAATCTTTTTCTATGGACTGTGCGCAGGGAAGCTCTGGCTGTGAAGGACGCCGCGTCTGCCTGTCCAGACTTGGACATGGTCGACAAGGTTATCCGAACTCTGGCCGATCTCCTCGGCCGTTCAAGCGTGTGGAGCCAGCGGTTCAAGTACCTGCAGCGTGTCATCCACAAGACCAACCTTGACGTTCAAGGAATCCACGCGATTTGGTGGCTGTCCAGGGGCGAGGCAGTCAGATGCCTCTGTAAGGTCATTGGTGCTGCCATCGTTTTACTGTATGAGTATAACCATTAGTTGTACGAGGTTGTCATCTCATACAAGTTTCAGTTCTGTCTCTTCTTCCTGGCGGACGTCCTCGCCTTGAACGAGCTCAACCTCAAGTTTCAGAAGCGAGAGGTGAGCCCTTGCATGTGAGCTTGTGGTATGTTCTTTCACAATCAGCTCTAACATTCTGCCCCTTGATTTGCGCCCCCTTGTTTCCACCACCCCCCCCCCTCCCCACCCGACCGCAGGGGGATGTTACCGAGATAACACAGGACGCCGACGAGGCGGTGGGGGATCTTCGGCACCGCTACTTGGAGTGCGGCGGGGTTTTTGGTGCGGGCGTAAGCGGCACGTGGCTCTCGGCTTTCTTAACCGTGTACGGGCGAGGGGGGCCGAAGAAAGTGAAGGTGCGCGGCGTTGACAAGGACGGGCAGCCGGTGACGCACACGTACCAGATGCACGAGCGGCAGATCAAGGGGCACGTCTACTAGAGCAACTATCGGGACTGCGAACTGTTGTGCGCGAAGTTTGCGAGGGGGAGCATGACGAACCTGCTGGAGCGGCTGGACGACCTGTCGAAGCTCGGGCCGACGAAGTTGTTTCGGGCGGGCAAGTGGCCGCGGCATCGGATGGTGAGGGAGAAGAAGACGAGGGACTATCTCCATGGCTGCAGTGCCATCTTCGACGACAAGCTCCCCGGGTTCGATTTGAAGGAGGCGGAGAAGAAGCTGGCAACTTGGGCCCCGATCATGCAGAACCACCACAACGAGGAGGGCTTCTTCCAGGGCCTCACGAACTACCTTGGCAACACGGATTCAAGCAGGTAAGTCGAGCCTCGAAAGCACGTTGCTCAGTCTGCCTGTTTATGATTGTTTTTGCCAGTTTGACCACCCTAACTGTCTATGTTTGTATCTACTTCTATTGTTCCTTTCCCACCATGCTTGTAGTTTATTCATAAATCTATTGTTCCACGCATCTTGTGTGTGGTTGTTCCATAAACAGGCGCTGGCCCAACCTCATGCTTCTTTGGCAAGCATGCGCGGTGTTACCATTCTCAACTGTGGAGTGCGAGCGTGGTTTTTCCAGGCAGAACGTGATCAAGTCTTGGGTCCGTGGTGCTCTGTGCAATGCCCGCCTGGGTGAGCTGATGATGATTTCACTGCTGAGATACGACATCAACTGGCAGGAGGCGCTGGAGCTGTGGCACGCAAAGAAGAGAAGACCAGCCAAGTCGGTGGTGTTCGCATCACAAGAGAGGAAGCGCAAAGGCAAGGCTCTGCTGGAAGAGGCAGAGCAGGAACCTCCAGTGCCAGACTACTTAGGAGAGGATTGGGATGAGGAGGAGGAGGAGGAGGGGGGGAGAGAGATGGTGGAGGTGCAGTAGCTATAGAAGACAACCCCTTTCTGTCGGATGATGAGGCGGAGGATGTCGTCGCTGTGGATGTGCCAGAGTTCTAGCTAGGCTAGGAAATTAGACCAGGTGTAGGTTAACTGCCCGAATGTTATGAAATAATGGCGAGTAAATGGCAAATGACTCTGATTAATACTTGCGAACCCTGAAGAAATCAGACTTGAGAGTCACTGGATCCTGAGAAATCAGACTACCATGGAAACTGAAACCTGGCTACTCAGACTTGGGGAAAAATTTTGGGGCCAAAATCAGAGTGGGTTTTTTTGAAACGTCAGCCCTGATCGGCGACTAACTAAGGCGCCAGTGTGGTGCGGGCTAGCGGCGGCTGGCGCTGGTCGGCACTAGCTGGTGGCGGCTGGCGCTAGCTGACACGAGCTATGTGACGAGCTGGGGAGGGCAGGGAGGGGACGATCTACGAGGCGCGCAACTAGGGGCGAGGTGCGCTAGGCTAGGGTGTGCTAGGGCGGAAGCGTGAGTAGAGGGCGAGACCTACGGTAGCTCTAGATGCCATGTTAGAATGTCGAGAGGAAAGGAATGTGACTAAGGGGGAAAGGCTGAGGGTTACAAAGGTGGGAATGTACCCTCTAAGAACTGACCTAACTAAGGCTATAACAAATATACTCTACCTAGTATAGACAAGTATATTTGTTGACACTATCATCCCTTATCTGCAATAAAGCACCCATTTCATTCCGTATCATCTTGCGTTTTCAATAACGTACCGGTACCGTACTTGTTTTCATTAAAAACCTCCACCCTTTGATACGTCTGTCTATGGGCACTTACTCCTTCCTGAGCAAACAGACAAGCGTCTTCCATATTTAGTTTGTTCAGAGCAGAACAACAGATGGAACAACCGTTGAATGTTGATTCATTCCCCCACCACCTGGCAGGCAGAAGGCTGTCGCCAACCAAACTTCAGAAATGCGTTAGTTGCACCGAACTTGTGCGACAAACCAGCCCATTCCTTTAATACTGTAGCATCACACAAATCGTGACATTATTATACACAGGAGAGGTTCTATTTGCAAGCAGGCAGCGGTGTTCCGCACAGGTTAGGGTTTCCTGGCTTAAAGGAAGCCCGTTTCAGCTTGCTAAGAGCAGCAGGAACAGCCCCTGACAGCCGGTTCCCTGCCAGCAGCACCTGGCCGATAGTTCGCGGCCAAGCCGCGGGAATGGGACCCGACAGCCGGTTGTATGACACGCCCAGTCCCCACAGCTGCTGCATGCCGCTCACCCCAGCCGGGATCGCCCCTGTGAGGGCGTTTTTATCTAGAAGCAGCCATTGGAGGCTTTTAAATGAGCTGATTGTAGCGGGGATGGAGCCGGAGAGTTGGTTGGAGGAGAGGTAGAGGGTGTTGAGGGAGGGGGCGCAGGAGGGGGAGGAGAGAGGGGTGGGCGGGCCAGAGAGGGCGTTGAAGGCGAGGTTGAGGTAGAGAAGGGCTTGCTGGCCCTGGCAGAAGGGGGGGATGGGGCCTGAGGGGTGGGGAGGGGAGGAGGGAAAGGGGGGGAAGGCCAATGGAAACCACGAAGGGTTAGGGCTGCAGGAGGTAAGGGCCCGTTGGCCTTGAAAGATGGGGTAGGATGGAAAATCGCGGGTTTGGGATAGAGGAAGTGAAAGTACGGACAGCTTCATACCCCTTATAATATTCACAGCTAGTGGACTAACCTGCAGTTTTCAGGTCAGCTTACCTGTCAGATAGTTTGACCGCAGGTTTAAGTATTCTAGCTGGGGTAAAGTGGTGAGGCCTTGGGGAATTCTCCCTGCGAACTTGTTGAATGCCAGGTCCACATCCAAGATGCCCTTGGGCAGGCTTGAAAAAGGCTGCAAGCTGCCCGAGAAGTTGTTGCGGCTCAAGGAGAAGGCCAGGACCCCATTTGCAGGCTTGAAACAATTTGCTGGAACGGCTCCGGTCAGGCGATTACGTGAAAAATTAACGCCTAAGAGGTAGGCCAAGTTCCTGCACAGGATTTGCGGAAAGGTGCCCGAGAAAAGATTCTCAGAGAAGTCGATGAAGATTACCCACTCGCTGAACTGGATCTTGTTGAGATTTCCTGACAGCCTGTTCCGGCTTAAGCCAATGAAGGAAGCTTTTATCTGCTGCCCGCTCAAGTCACCCGAAAGCCGGTTCTGATCCAGAGCAAGATCGACCAAATCCATTTCCAGAAGGGCAGGTGGAATCGGCCCGGAAAGAAAATTCCTCCTGAGATCCAGATATGATAACGAAAATATCGCGACGTACGCAGCAGGAGGCTGTGGTATCCCGCCGGAGAAGAAATTTCGCGACGCGGACAGAGAGTAGAGATTCGGCATGCGAAAAAAGGCGACGGGAAGAGGACCAGCGAAGCAGTTAACTTTGAGATTGAGAAGCCGAAGCTTAGTAAGCCGGGAAAGCGATCGCGGTACCGAACCAGCGAGCCATAGATTGGGAAGTTGGAGGCGGACCAGATCCGTCAACTGGCCGATAGAAGCGGAAAGAGTCGCGGGGAATTTCCCGCCTAGTTCTCGCGCGGTACGGTTGCAAAGGCGCGGCGTCGGCGGGAGCAAGAGCCGGCTGACGCTGCTCGTGAGGTATAGCTTTACAACAGCACCATTCGCGGCGCATGTCACGCCGGGCCACGCGCACGCGTTCGGCTTGTTTGCCGGGATAGGCAGCTGCGCGGCCGTGAAGATTGCCGTAAGAGCCGCCGTGTTCGCCGCCGCAGTCTGCGGCAGTGAGGCTGCAGATGCCGCGCCGCTCAACCCTAAAGCTGTTGACAGGCTGTCAGCGCCACTGGTTCCGCCCACCGTCGCTGCTTCCGCTCGCTCCGCGGGTGCTAGTAGTTTCTCCGCAGATGTTCTCTCCGCCCGCCGCGTCGCTAGAAATTGCACAGCTGGAGGCAGAACCGTCCGGAGGGAGACTCGTCCGCGGCGAGCAGAAGACGGCCTCGATATAAGCGGCCTCGATATGGGCTTGAGAGCGGTGGCTGATGAGCAGTATACAAGCAGGAGAACGATGCACGCGGCGGCTGTGGTAGTAGCGTGAACGCGCAGCGCGTAAGTAACGGTGGTTGAACGTGGAATTGGAGGGTATTCCGTGCCGGCCATTGTGAAAGCTTGGCTCAAGCGTGCGAAGCTCGACTCCCGAGTGTGTTGAGCGAGAAATCCCTTGAAAACCGAAACCTACCGGGCGTAAGAAACGATGAAGCGCCGCGATGTAGGGAAAGAATGAAGGGGTAGTTGACGAATATGCAATTACGGGAGAACTCGTTCCCTTTGTAACCTACCCTGAGCCAACTCCCGATCGTGAAGAAGTGCGATGAGCGCGAGCGAGCGATGAGATAAGGGCAAATTGGCTGCTGTTGCTGTACAGTTCAGCGCGAACAGACCAACCAGATGGATGCTTGGAGCAAGGAGCAGCAGAGAAGTTCGGTCCTCGTCAGGGCTTACGCTAGAAGGGTAGCTACCCTAAATGTCGAGAAATTAAGAGTTGTCTGGACCTTGAACCCGGATTTTAGCAGGCCGGGTTCTGCCGAATCTCTGAATTTAGCCGAATCAATGAGCCTTGGAATTCGGATGAATCCGTGACAGGTTTTCATCAACCCGACGGACTAGTCTCGCAGCATGGCATTCAGCAAGGAGAATATCCCTCCGCCACTGCGTGGAGAAAAATCTCCGTCACGAACATCAAGGGTGATTTCGGGTTTGGGACTTCGATTTCATTTCAAATTGCCCCGTCATCTGTGCTCCAAACATTGGACTAGAAGGCAGAAAAGTCCTTCCGCTTAGGGAGAGTTACCACTCGGAGAACTCGGAAGGATTCCGAGTGAAAACCCCTTGGATTCCGGAAAATTCTGGGTATGATTGGACCATAACTCAGCACCTTCCGAAACTCCCTGGGGCCTAGCGTAAGCCCTGGTCCTCGTCCTCCCCTCCCCAGTCCCACTTGTCAAATCTGATTTCGTCGCAAGTGGCGGATCTACAGCATTCGTGCTGTTGACCCGCCAGCTAAGCATAGCACAGTCGCGTCACTAAGGGGTGGTTGCAGAGGTGGCGAGGAGGGCCCAAAATTGGTTGAGGCACCCTTGGGAATAAGGGTACCGCTACAGAATTACCCTGCCTCCTAAGGTGGAATTTTCAGCACCCTTTGAAAATCAGGGTGAATTCATATAACATAGTCAATACCCTGTTTGAGTCAGGGTACTAATGCCATCACCCTGTCCACTGCACAGTTAACAGTGTCTACAATTTCAGCTTCTTCTTTGTAGCAAGCATACAAGCAGGATCACTACAGCAAAGCATCAACAGCCTCTCCTACTTCAGTTACTTCCTCCAGCATTACACCACTGCAGAGATACAGCAACAGCGGGGGGGGCAGTAACAGCTACAGTGTTCCTTCCTTCCGTGGATGGAGCTGCTGCTGGAGGTGCTGAAGGGGAAGAAACATGGGGGAAAGGACATGGTGATGCGCGAGGGGGAGTAGCGAGACACTGATGCAAGTTAGCATCAAAAACGAAATCAGAATCAAAGTCGTGCAAAACCGAACCGAACCTCATTAGACTGCTCATTTCGCTCTTGCACCTCACTATACCGTGCAAGTCTGAATTCGATTTTTGTTCTCATGCTACCTCAGGAATACGCATTGAGGGAGCAGCGATAGACTACGGGAGCAGCAAGATACTAAGGGAGTAGCAAGAGACTAAGGGAGCAGCGAGAGACTAAGGGAGTAGTAAGAGACTAAGGGAGCAGCGAGACACTAAGGCAGCAGCGAGAGACTAAGGGAGCAGCGAGACACTAAGGGAGCAGCGAGAGACTAAGGGAATAGCAAGGGACTAATGTAGCAGCGAGAGACTAAGGGAGCAGCGAGAGACTACGAGAGCAGCAAGAGACTACGGGAGCAGCGAGAGACTACAGGAGCAGCGAGAGACTAAGGCAGGGAGGAACAGAGAGACAAACAAGGCTGGGGGGAACGAGCAAGAGAGATGAAGGCAGGGAACAAAGACACTAGGGGAGGGAGCAGCCAAAATAAGAATTTGTTGGTGGGCGGGGCTGCCTGCCTGCGTGGTAGATTCGACAGTTGGCGTATTTAGAGGGCTGGGAGGGAGTAATATGTTTCAGGGTGTTTTTTGGCGCACCCTGACTGGTCAGGGTAATAAGACAAACACTCGTACTACAAAAGGGTAAAATATTCCTTACGCTTTTTTAGAAAGGGTCCGAGAAAATTTGGCCTTTCAAAATCAGGGTAATCCTGAAAAGCCGGCTGCTGACAAGGGTAATCAGAATGAAACACCCTTCAAATTTGAGCCCTGGTGGCGAGCCAGGCCAAAGCTCTGTTGCAACAGTATCACAAAAGTCAAATGGACATGATTTGAGTGTCTACGATATTGGCCAAAGGAAATGGTTGCAACTTCAAGGGCATGGGTCAGAAAAAGTGTCGAAAGCTCGAACTTTCATTGTGGTTCCACGCGGTTCAGTGTTCCTTCGTACGATCAACTACAGTGCAGCGACGTTGATTCACTGCTCGAGCGTTCCATAGGAACTCTGGTGGGGAGGGAGGGGGAGGGGGGGGAGGAAAGGGAGCCGGCGTTGAGGTTTGGAGGAGGCAAGGGATTGGGCAGGGGAGGGAAGTCGTGGGTGGCAATTTGTAAAAGGTAAAGTGTGGTCCACTACATTAGAATGCTATGCGGTACGGTGAGAGAGCACGGAATATTATTCTACGCCGCAAAATCAAGTTGCTATTTTCGAGGTTAGGACGGGTGAGGAGGTTGGCTGGGCTGGGAGTTGGACTCAGAGCCATCACTCGATGTTCAATCAGTGGCCATCAGGGCGTGTTCCCAAGAATACGTCCCACATAAATATTATGCGTTGATGTACGGTGCCAAACAATTCAAAACGGTATTCTTGCCTCACCGTTTTCAACCTTGAAGCACCACGTTGGACCCATACGAAGTGTGATGGAGACATACTCTAGGGACACGCCCTCAGGAGAAAAACGGCGTAAGGATAGCTCACCACACTAAATCAACGTAATCTAACTGAGACAGGGTTTTGAACTTTTAGCAAAATTCACCCCTTCAAAAGCCCCTCGTGCTGCTTAGCTGAGACGACTTTGCAACCAGCCTCCAGTGTGAGTTGAAGTCTCGCCATTGGGGAGTCCCCAACAGCCCATGGTTGACCCGCTAATGTGGTGAACAGTGTAAAGTAATCGGGCAATGCCCAAAAGCTATTTTGACATCACCCGGCGACATCTGCGCGACGTTCATTTTGCTTATTCTGATGGCTACACAAGCCATTTGAACATTGACTAAATGCGAAACATGCCGGAAACTTTTTTTGGGGTGCCGAAACCGAAGCGCCAGGTAAAAGTAAATGTAGAAGTCAGGTTTTTTTTCGTCACTATGCGGTACAGTTGGGCTCCTTGCTTTTGAGGCTGTTTTGTAACAAACTGTACAAACTTTGGTACACCTGTTTCACGCTTAAAAATATTGTGTTTTCACGTGGCTCAAGCCTGTTCCCCGGACATTTCAAGGCACGGGCAAACGGGACATTAGCTTAGAAATTGCACAATAACTCCCAGGCAAAATGTTGAACATTTCGACCTAACTTTGGGGGTCAAGTTCAGCTCGCTACTTAGAGGGGAGGACTGAACGTAGGGGGGCACGAGCTGGCGAAAATTGCTATTGGGACCCTAGGGATGACAAAATCAGGCAAGAATTGCAATATGGACTATTGGTTTGAAGACCGTAGCGTGGAACATGTGTATCCTAACGTTACAGCATGGCTGTACTGTAATTCGTTTAAAACCACAGGCTAAAATAGCAAAGGGGGGCTTCAAGTGAGCCCCCCTTGAAGTGGGGGCGCTTTTGAAAAAAGTTGGATTGCCAGGGCGAAACTGCCAAGGAAGTTTTGGGGCAACTGGGCAGATATGAACCTACCGTGATCCGCACCTGCGGGAGAAAAGTCGATTTCGGAACGCGTGCGACGACTTCCCCAAAGCCATGCGCGACAATTTCCCTGGGAAAGAATGTAGTGACTAGGGCGTGTTCTTTTGAGTGAACCTTCCCAGAGACTACTCTCGAAAATTTGAATACATATGGCTAGGACGTACCTTGCAACGAATCGTAGGCAATTGCGCCCAGTGAGAACATGCTTCGAGCTGAAAGCGTGGAAACACTCCACCGTACGCGCCAAAAATACTCGGGACCTAAACAGTGTAACTCTTATTTCTTACATATAGATCATTACCTACTTTACTATTTTCTAGTTCACATTTATCATTCGTGGTCCGTGGAGCTACCTTGAGCATGCGGAAAGCAAGTGAATCACAAAGTGGTTCTTGTTTTTCATAGGTTGCACTACTGCTTTTTTAATTTATAATGAATGTATGCAAAGTAAAAAAGGTTCCCACTACTTCATTGTCTAAGAGATGCTAACCACACCCTTGGCGACAAGGTTCTCAAACTGCAACGGTAGCCTGCATACCCTCATTGGTCCAGAAAAAAGGGGGAGAATAAAAAACAGGGTAAATGGTGGGTGACGAGAAGAAGCATACGGCCATGGGAGAGTACCTGAGCAATGGGGTGAACAGTAGGGTTGAAGGGGAAGGTGGTTGAGAGATGGGGAGTGCAGATGGCAAAACCAGCAACAGCATGGGAGTGAAGCTGAGGGCATAAGTGAAAGGGGAGGAAAGATAGGGGAAAGGCTTGACAGGGTGGGAGAAAGGGGAGGGGAGATGGGTGAAAGGATGGGAGAGGGGAGCGAGGTAGGGAAAAAAAGTTTCTGCCTTGACGACAAGGGAACGCGGCACAGGAGAGAGCGGGGGGGCAGCAGAGAGCGGGGAAACAGCAGAGAGCAGGCGGACAGCAGAGAGCGGGGGGACAGCAGAGAACGGGGGATGGCAGAGAGAGGGGACGGCAGAGAGAGGGGGACGGCAGAGAGCGGGGGGGCGGCAGAGAGAGGGGGACGGCAGAGAGCGGGGGGCGGCAGAGAGAGAGGGGACGGCAGAGAGCGGGGGGGCGGCAGAGAGCGGGGGACGGCAGAGAGCGGGGGACAGCAGAGAGAGGGGGGGCGGCAGAGAGAGGGGGGACGGCAGAGAGCGGGGGGACGGCAGAGAGCGGGGGGAAGGCAGAGAGCGGGGGGATGGCAGAGAGCAGGGGGACAGCAGAGAGCGGGGGGACGGCAGAAAGCAGGGGGGTGGCAGAGAGCTGGGGGACGGCAGAGAGTGAGTGGAGGGACAACGGTGTAAGGGATAGGTGAGAATAAGGATCCCTGGGGTAAGGGGAGTAGGGATGGAGAGATCAAGCAAAAGATTGTTGAGGGAGAGGGTTACGACTGGAGAGGGTGAGGGAGAATTGAGAGGGGGTGAGACCTTGAGAGGGTTACGCCCTCTCTCCCATTCAGCCCCCTCTTTCCCACATGCCACCCATCTCTCCCACCTTCCGCCTCCCTTTCCCCCCATTCCGCGTACCTCTTCCCCCCATTCGCACACGCTTTCTCCCTATCCTGCCTACCCCTTTTCCCCCTTTGCATACCTCGTTCCCCCGTTTCGTCAAGCACTTTCCCCATTCCGCACACCTCTTTCCCCCATTCCGCCTACCCCTTTCCCCCAGTTCGCCTATCTCTATTCCATATCCCACATACCTCTTTGTAAGGCGACAAGTCAGCTGTCCTAACGGGGTTCACTCTGCGCCGCTGGCAGAAATTCGTCGAGCCTAACTCGCTTATCTATCTCGTCGAACCGAACTCGTTTAGCCTAACTCGTTGAGCTTATCACCTCGAGCCTAACTCGTCGAGCCTTTCTCGTCGAACCTAACTCGTTTCCCTCTCTTCAAACCGTCACTACTGCATTTTTGCTCGTTTTTCGTCGAAACTAAAACGTTATACACGTAGGGGGGACTGTTCAAGCCCCGCAAAACCTGCAGCGATTTTTTAGGATAGGTGTCGAGACCGCTGTGGCTTCCTAAGCTAGTCTACGTGTGAGAATAGTCTACCACTGGAAACTAGTAGCACACCTGGGGCTCACTTGAAACTATGGGCAGAGACAGGTGGTCGCACGCCTTTCTTTTTGGTTTAGCCATGCGACCCTCGGACTCGTCGCATCGTTTTCCTTTCTGGGGTTACGATCTGTTATGCATCGTCAGCGAATCAGTGTGGGCTACAAGTTCGCAGCAATTTTTTTTCGAGTCTGGGAAAATGCACCAGCGGAAGTCGGTTCCTTTTCTCTGACCGCAACAAGAACCCAATTTTCAAGTGCGCCCCCCCTTTGCTATTCTAGCCTGTGGTTTTAAGGTTTGCTTGCATATACGAATCGAGCAAAGAAGAGGAAAGGCGGGTGAGAGGAGGAGTTAGAATGCATATCGTGCATCTAAACTGAAATCGACCAATAATATTTCCTATACTGAAAAGAGTGAGAGAAGAAATATAGAGAAAAGCTTATGATATGACTGCACGGAAATGTAGGTAAGCCACTACATACCATAGGTAGAGAAATGTATCGTGTACTTGGGAGAAATCTATCGTGCACTAGCTGCTGGAATAAAGTAAACTCTGAGATTAGGCTGTGGAGACGTTTTTGCGGTTCGCTGAACCCTTGAGCGGACCAGGTGTGTTGGAGCCACGTTTTTGCAGCTCCGAAGAAACGTTTTCCTTTCCGGTCAGAAATTGCCCCGTGACACAGAAATTCGCGTAATGATGTTTTTAACGGGAATTACTGGTAGCGTAATGTTATGAATGGGACTGCCGAGTAGCGCGGAGGGCAATGGCGAAACTGTGAACGAGTGAATGACAATAAAATGAAAGAACACACAATATATAGAAAGCCTAGGGTGATCCTGGACGTAGGATCGGAAGGTTCGGGAAAGGTATCGAAGGGCCTCGATCTGTCGTAGCGAGGTCCGGAAAGGCCCATGAGGCTCGAATTGGAAGGTCTGGAACCCTGGCGATGGTTCGGGACTGTTCGAGTCGTACGCCCTGTAGCAAGCCTCAGTAAGGAATTACGCATTCCTTACACGTAACTTCAGAAAGCGAGTATGTAACGTGTAATGCATCCAGTGGCGAGCTCGGGGGTTTTGCCAGTGCTTGACGAAAACAAAAATCAGCATCATTTGGCGAGTGTGGCTAGGCGGGTGTCATTGCCATGACAGATTTCACTTCCATCTGGCAGCTGCGTGTGACGAGCATTGCCACTCGGGTAATAAAACAAACATCGCCAGGTGGCCAGATTCGTTCGCCACAAGTCGTCTACAGTAGGAACAGTAGCCACCAAATCAAACAAAATCACAACCAAAACTCCCAGCGGCAGGGCATTTGACGGAAAGGCGAAAGAAAATTCCAAACGCACAAAGAACAGGAGATACATTATTAAAATTGGCCTACAGTGGAACAATAACGGACCAAAAGTTTCAGAATACTGTACAAGCAGAAACGAACAACAGCAGAACCAATTCAATCAGCGTTGCACGATTTTGAAACAGTGGCGCAAACTCTGATTCACAAGGTATAACTCAAAGCGCATCTAAATATAGCAAACACATATGTACATGAAATTCAACCATGCAGTTTTTTCTAACTGTAATAAATGCAGCTACGTTGTATGTACTTTTAATAATGCACTAACATGACATACACCATCGATTGAATATTTCACATGGAATATATAAAATAATAATGAGATATTAACAGATACTTTCACATCGAAGCTTGGTAATTAGTTTAAGCATATACATTATATATATATACATAAAAAGCCTCCGCAACCCTAAAACGATTGTGTCGTCTCTTTTTTTTTTTTCCTACCTGAAACTATCACAAACATGCAGGAATTAAACAGTGCCCTTGTGTAAATACTACCTTGTCGTTTTTTCCTTCCATAATGAATTGGGGTCCTGCTCGAGCAAGGGGGCGTGAATCTGTCACTCCGATAGGAATTCAATGTTAGAATACGAGGTTGTTTGAGTAGTGTGAGAAACCTAGAACATATACCTGTTGGGGTTTTACTCACTAGAAGCACACACCTAGGCTAGCCTATAACTTCTACATGCAACATATGTATAAGTTGACACACCCCCTAGGCTAGAGAAGGGGTAGTGCAAGCAAGAAGCATACAGCTCAGGGTGGCACTACTAGTCCAACCACTGAGGCAGGGGTCTGGAGACCAGTCAGCAAGAGTACAAACAAGTCTAAAGCAAGCCAGGGCGGCAATACTAGTCCAGCCACTGGAGGTAAGGCCACAAGGCCAGTCAAACAGGTATATATAATAGAAAGTACACAATCAAGCTCCTAACAAATGAGAAGCTACAGGAACAAGACCAAGCTGTACACAGTGCCGCTGATGATCTTTAGGCGCAAGCGCCTTAGTAAAGATATCAGCTGTGTTGGCACCGGAGGCCAAGTGAACTACGCGGGCCTGGCGACGCTGCTGTACTGCAGGAGGAAGTACCGCAGCTGGATATGCTTCGCTCTGCCCTCAAGTCAAGGCTCCTGACGCAAGAGAATCATGGCCCTGTTGTCAGCGTACAGGACCGGGGCAGAGTTAGGCCGCTCACCTAAGTCAGTGAGCAAGAAGGTCAGCCAGCGGAGCTCCTGTGCTGCCATGGCACCAGCGTAGATCCCAGCCTCACAGCTGGACTGGGCAACAGACGACGAGAGAGTGGATCTCCAAGAGATTGCACCCGAACCAATGCTAAAATAGTAGCCCTGAGACGACCTGAGAGTCTCAGCGTCGTCTGCCCAAGAAGCGTCTGTGTGTCCAGTAAGGACCAGTGGCCTGCGTCCTCCAAGCACTAACCCCATGCCCGATGTACTTGCTAGATATCGCAAAACCCTCTTAGCGGCCGACCAGTGCTGTGGTCGGTGTCTGCTGGTGGCCACAAAGCGAGCCAGGATGCTGAGAGGGTATGCAAGATCTGGGCAAGTGCAAGTCATCAGGTACATGAGGCAGCCCACCGGCTCTGCGTAGGGGCCGCTGGGCTCTACTGGCTCCTCAAGAACGGGAGCAGAGAGCCCATGGTCTACAAGTAGAGATGTGGGCTGTGCGGAGGAGAATTGAAGACCGAACCTCGGAAGGACTTGGCGCACCAAGTGTGACTGTGTCAGAGTGATGGTGCGTGCTGCTCTGTCCCTAGAGATCTGCAGGCCAAGATAGCGACGCAGCTCTCCAAGGTCAGTGCAGGTGTGTCTCTTCAGCAGCTCGGCCTTCACAGAGGCAAGTGCATCCCTGTCAGCAGTAGCGAAGACCAGGTCATCTACGTAGACGAGGATGTAGTACGGAGGATAGTGCGCTGGCGAGTCTCGATCTTGGTCAGGGCGGTGACAAAGGCTGTCAGGGTGAGGTCACCAGGGTGGTGGCTAAGGATGTGGTCGCGGGCACTAGCAAGGCGGTCAGGCAGGCGCATAGCGATAAAGTAGAGGGTCATGGAGAAGGGGAGAGGGAGCGCAGTGAGCTGGGCAGCAGTGCTAGCAATGCGGTAGCGAGACTCCAGGGCGCGCAAGTGAGTGGCAAGATCAGCAACAGTAGGGAAGGAAGCAAGGTCTGGGAAAAGCATAGGAAAGAGCAGGCGGCCTACAGTAGCGGAGGTAGGCATGGAATAGCGAGCAACTACAGCATCTAGGTAAGCCTTGGCTGTATCAGCTGTAGCGAAACGCGAATGCTCAGGCACAGGGAGGGCGTGACTGATAGCGACCTGAGCAACTGCATCGCGAGAGTCCCAGATTGCACATGCAAGTGCAGCAGCAGAGAAAACCTCACTCTCAGTAGAGGTGGGGTCAGCAGGGAGGGGAGCAGGTGCAGGGGGGCGGGGGAGCAAGCCATCAACATGGACAACCAAGGAGTGCCCATCCTGACGTTGACCTGTGAGGTGACGGCGGAGATCGGACAGCCAGGCGGCGAAGTCAACCGCGTGGCCCTCCGCGTCCAGGCGGAGGACGAAGTCAGCCATCGTGCAGAATCAGCGACATAGGGACACTGCGGCACAGCTCCACAGGACAGCGACAAGACGCTCCAGCTCGGCAAGGAGACGACACGAGCCACAGGAGCCGGGCGGGCACGGGGAGTTGCGGGCCGCAGGAGCCGGGCGGGCGTATCGGGGCCGGACATGCAGTAGGAGAGGCCGGCCAGGCGCTGTGGGAGAAACCGGGCGGGCGCTAGGAAAGGGGCCGGGCGGGCGCTAGGAAAGGGCCGTGCGGGCGCGAGGAGGGGCCGGGCGAGCGCTAGGAAAGGCTGGGCGGGCGCTAGGTGGGGCCGGGCGAGCGCTAGGTGGTGCCGGGCGGGCGCTAGGAGGGGCCGAGCGGGTGGTAGGAGGGGCCGGACTAGCGTTAGGAGGGGCCGGGCGGGCGCTAGGAGGGGCCGGGCAGGCGCTAGGAGGGGCTGGGCGGGCGCTAGGAGGGGCCGGCGCGTGCAGCAGACCAGGCGGGCACGGTGGGGGGGGGGGGGGGGGGGGGGGGGGGGGGGGGGGGGGGGGGGGGGGGGGGGGGGGGGGGGGGGGGGGGCGGCGGGCGCTAGGGGGGTCAGGAGGGCGTGGTGGGGACAGGCGGACGCGGTGGGGCTAGGCAAGCGCGACGGGGGGCCAGGTGGGCGCGGTGGAGCCAGGTGGGCGCGACGAGGGCCAGGAGGGCGCTACGGGGGCCTGGAGGGCGCGTCGGGGGCCAGGAGGGCGCTACGGGGCCTGGAGGGCGCGACGGGGGCCAAGAGGGCGCGACGGGGCCTGGAGGGCGCGACGGGGGCCAGGAGGGCAGTAAGGGGCCAGGAGGGCGCGACGGGGGCCAGGAGGGCGCGACAGGGGCCAGGCGGGCGCGGCGGGGCCAGGAGGGCGCGACAGGGGCCAGGCGGGCGCGGCGGGGCCAGGAGGGCGCGACAGGGGCCAGGCAGGCGCTAAGGGGCGGGCGGGCGCTACAGGCCAAGCGGGCGCTAAGGGCCGGGCCGGGCTAGGTAGGTAGGGGGAGGCGAGAGGCTAGGGTGCGGGCGGAAGTGGGTGGGTGGACCTAACCTACTCGATACCATGTTAGAATACGAGAATGTTTGACTAGTGTGAGAAACCTAGAACATATACCTGTTGAGGTTGTACTCATTAGAAGCACACACCTAGGCTAGCCTATAACTTCTACATGCAACATATGTATAAGTTGACATTCAAAACAAGAAAGCAATGCTTCTGGTAATTCCCTCGGAATACGGGCTGCGGGGAAACAACCATAGTAAACCACCGTCAATCCCAATCAACTCAAGGTTTCAATTTCAACTCACGCTTTACTGTAATAGATGTCAACTTATACATATGCAATATGTAGAAGTTATAGGCTAGCCTAGGTGTGTGCTTCTAGTGAGTACAACCCCAACAGGTATATGTTCTAGGTTTCTCACACTAGTTATTCATTCTCGCATTCTAACATGGTATCACGAGTAGGTTAGGTCCACCAACCCGCTTCCGCCCCCACCCTAGCCCCTCGCCCCCTACCTAGCCCTCGCGCCCGCCCGGCCTGTAGCGCCAGCCCGGCCCTTAGCACCCGCTCGGCCTGTAGCGCCCGCCCGCCCCTTAGTGCTCGTCCGGCCCGGCCCGTAGCACCCCCCCGTCGCGCCCGCCCGGCCCGTCGCACCCTCCTGGCCCCGTCACGCCCGCCCGGCCCCGTCGCACCTGCCTGGCCCCTATGCGCCCGCCTGGCCCCTTAGCGCCCGCCTGGTCCGTCGGGCCCGCCTGGCCCCTCCGCGCCACCCTGGCCCCCTAGCGCCCGCCCGGCCCCTCCTAGCGCCCGCCCGGCCACTCGTGGCGCCCGCCCGGCCCCTTCTAGCGCCCGCCCGGCCCCTCCTAGCGCCCGTCCGGCCCCTCCTAGCGCCCGCCCGGCCCCTCCTAGCGCTCGCCCGGCCCGTTGCGCCTGCCCGTCCCACAGCGCCCGACCGGCCACTCCTAGCGCCCGCCCGGGCCCTCCTAGCGCCCGCCTGGCCCCTCCTAGCGCCCGCCCGGCCCGTTGCACCCGTCCGTCCCACAGCGCCCGCCCGGCCCCTTCCTAGCGCCCGCCTGGCCCCTCCTAGCGCCCGCCCGGCCCCTCCTAGCGCCCGCCCGGCCCCTCCTAGCACCTGTTCGGCCCCTCCTAGCGCCAGCCCGGCCTCGATACGCCCGCCCGACTCCTGCGGCCTGCAGCTCCCAGTGCCCGCCCAACTCCTGCGGCTCCGTGTCTTCTGTTCGGCACGAATCCTGGAGTCTCCGGCCCCGTGTCTTCTGCGTGCCCGCGCTGGAGTGTCTTGCCGACGTCCTCCTGGAGCTGTGCTGCTGTGTCTTGTGGAGCTGTGCCGCTGTGTCCCTGTATCGCTGACCCTGCACGATGGCTGACTTTGTACTCCGCCTGGACGCTGAGGGCCACGCGGTTGACTTCGTCGCCTGGCTGTCCGATCTCCGCCGTCAACTAACAGGTAAGTGCCAGGATGGGCACTCCTTGGTTGTCCATGCTGATGGCTTGCTCCCCCGCCCCTCTGCGCCTGCTCCCCTCCCTGCTGACCCCACCTCTGCTGAGCGTGAGGCTTTTTCTGCTGCTGCACTTGCCTGTGCCATCTGGGACTCTCGCGATGCAGTTGCTCAGGTCGCTATCAGTCACGCCCTCCCTGTGTCTAAGCGTTCGCGTTTCGCTACACTTGATATAGCAAGAGCTTACTTAGATGCTGTAGTTGCTCGCTATTCTACGCCTACCTCCGCTACTGCAGGCCGCCTGCTCTTTCCTATGCTTTTCCCAGACCTTGCTTCCTTCCCTACTGTTGCTGATCTTGCCACTCACTTGCGCGCCCTGGAGTCTCGCTACCGCACTGCTAGCACTGCTGCCCAGCTCACTACGCTCCATCTCCCCTTCTCCAAGACCCTCTACTTTATCGCTATGCGCCTGCCTGACCGCCTTGCTAGTGCCCGCGACCACATCCTTAGCCACCACCCTGGTGACCTCACCCTGACAGCCTTTGTCACCGCCCTGACCGAGATCGAGACTCGCCAGCGCACTATCGCTCAGTCGAGCGGTGCGCCGGCAGTCTCTATCTTTCACGGCTGTGCCCCTTCCCAGTGCACGTTTACTGACGTTTCGGCTGCGGTCGCCACTGCAACCCCTCTGACCAAGACTGCAGCTGCGGTACACCCGCAGCAGCGCCCGCGCCGCGCCGGTCGTGGCCGCCAGGGAGGGCGTGGAGGTGGAGCTGGTGGTAGTGGTGGTGGTGCCGGGGACAGTGGTTCTCGTGAGGGGACTGGCGCAGCTAGTCAGGAGCAGCAGCCGTCGCCCCAGCAGCAGGAGCAGCCGCAGCAGCCGTCGCAGCAGTCGCAGTCATCGCAGCAGCTGTCCCAGCCCCCTCCGTGGGCTCGTCTCCCGCCGGGTTGGCCCGGCACCTCTGTAGGTGGTGGCCGTGGTGGCGGCCCGCGCAGCTTGGCATCTACCGGCAGCTCCGTTGGTGTGACCTGCCAGTACCAGCTTCAGACCGGGCCTCTCCGCGACACTCTGTGCCGCCGCCCGCACCCGACCGCCCGTTGTTTCCACCGCCTCGACGATCTCTTTCGTCGTCGCTTTGGCCCGGCCCCGGACCTCCCCGACTGGCACAGCCTGCTTCGCCAGGGCGTGCCGATCTTTGAGTTAGATATGGATCAGATAGGTGCTGCTTTGCATGCCTTGTATGCTGACGCTCCTAGTATTGCTGGATCTTATTACCGTGTGTACTCTAGTTTAGGCGTAGCACCCTTGTGTAGCTCAGCCTCCCCTGCTGCGTCAGGCGTAGGGCTGCCTAGTTTGCCTAGCCTAGTTTCTGTACCGGCTCCGTTTCCGGCCTCCGCTACTGCCTCGCTGCCCTTCATTCTCGACTCCGGTGCTTCTGCCTGTTTCTTCCGCAACCGCTCCACACTCACGCCGCTTGCTGCGCCTCCTGTTGTCACTCTCGCTGACCCCTCTGCGGGTCCTGTCGTCGCTCGCAGCTCCACTTCCCTTCCCTGTCCCGCCGTTCCCTCGGGCTCTCTTACATGCCTCCACGTTCCCTCGTTCTCCAAGAACCTGGTTGGTGTCGGCTGTCTTCAGGACCTCGGCGTCACCACTACGTTCCCTGGGCATGAGCGGTTCGCTGTCTGTACCGAGACTGTCTCAGGTTCCCCCCTTGCGACGTTCCCCCGGGACCCGGTGTCCGGTCGGTTTACCCTCGACACCGATTCCCCCCCGGTTGGTGCGTCCTCCCAGGTCGCTGCAGCTTGCTCGTGTCGGTCCCTCACTCACCCCTCCTTTTTGTGGCACCACTACTTAGGTCACCCTGCTCTCCCACGTCTGGGTCACATGTCCCGGTACGGTCTTGTCTTAGGCCTCCCCGAGTCGCTCCCCGCCCTTCCCCCTTCGACTGCGCCACCGTGCACGCCTTGCGTCGAGGGCCGGCTCCGCCGTGCCCCTCACTCCTCCTCGCTTCGCCCTGCTACTGCTACCCTTCAGACCCTGCACCTGGACGTTTGGGGCCCAGCCCCCGTCCCCGGACCGCGCGGTGAGCGCTACTTTCTTGTGCTCGTCGACGACTACACGCGCTACACCACGGTGTTTCCCCTGGAGCGGAAGGCAGATGTACCCAACGTTCTTCTCCCGTGGGTTGTGGCTGCGGGTCTTCACCGCGGTCTCCCCGTGTTGTGTCTCCACTCTGACCGTGAGGACGAGTTCGGTTCTGGTCGGCTTGCACAGTTCTGTCGTGCGGAGGGCATCACCCAGTCCTACATCTTGCCGAACTCGCCCCAGCAGAATGGGGTTGCTGAGCGCTCCATCGGCTTGGTCATGGAGGTTGCTCATACCTCCATGATTCATGCCGATGCCCCCCATTTTCTATGGCCGTTCACTGTTCGCTACGCTGCTCACCAGCTTAACTTGTGGCCACGCTCCCAGCGGCCGCAGGTTTCGCCGACCCTCTGTTGGACCGGGTCCCCTGGTGACTCGTCTGTGTTCCACGTGTGGGGTTGCCTTGCTCACGTTTGTGCCTCTGGCACGGACAAGCTCACTGCCTGCACTGTCCCCTGTGTCTTCCTCGGTTTCCCCCTGGACTCGTCTGAGTGGCTCTTCTACCATCCGCAGTCTCACCGCTTCCTTCACTCTCGTGACGTCACCTTTGACGAGTCTGTCTCCTTCTACCGTCGCTTCCCTCACCGAGGTCTCCCGGTTTCCCCCTCCCTGTTCCTTGCTCCCTTTCCCCCGGTAGCCCCTCCTCCCCTCCCGCCTTGTCCTGCCCCGTCTGGTGTCTTGCATGTCACTCCCCTCCCGTCAGTTGTCCCCGTTGAGGAGTCTTTTGACTCTGGTGGTCCCCCCGGCCCGTCCTTGCCGCGTCCCCCTTCCCCGGTGTCTCCGCTTCCACTGTCGCAGTCGCCGCCGCCGTCATCGCCGTCTCAGCCGCCGCCGCAGCTCTTGGCCTCTGGGGGTGCTGGCGTTGAGGAGGGTGTTCGTTCTGCGGCTCCTGGCGTGGTCTCTAACGGTGGGCCTCGGGGTGCCGCTGGTGCTGGAGGGGCTTCTCGCTCTGGGGGTATTGGTTCTGAGGGTGCTGCCATTGAGTGTTCTCCCGGCAGTCGTCGTGGCCTCGCCGGTCCGCGGGTCGAGACCCCACCATCGCAGCAGCCGCCGCAGCCATCGCAGTCGGTCTCCGCTCTTCGCCTACTCAGCCTTCCCTCCGCTGACCGCTCGCTGGTGTCTCCCCCACCACCCTCTCACCTTCCTGTATACGGCCCTGTGTTCCCGCCGCCAGACTCGTCTCCGGCCCGTCTTCCTCCTCGTTCCCCTTTTGTGTCCCTCCGCTGTCACCTGACCCTACACCTCCGTCCCACGTTTGGTCCCGCCGTCCCTCCCGTGCTCGTCCCGTCTCTCCTGTCCTGCGCTCCCACCCTATGTTGCTCCGTTCCTACTCGTCTCGTCCTCCCCTCCTCCCGTCGCCTCCTCCCTCGTCGCTTTGTGTTGCACCTCCCCCGCTGTCTGACTACCTCCGTGCCGCTCGTACCCCTTGTCCCTCGGGTTCTTGCCTCTCTTGTTACAGCCACGTCTGTTCTTGTCTCGTGCCTTGACGCGCTTATCGCTGCTGTTGCTGACTTCGCCTCTACCCGCCGCCTTGACTACGCTTCCCCTCTGGTCTCTGACCCTGCCCGTCCTCCGTCCGTCGGGGGTGCACCTGCCCTTGGCTGTGACGTTCTAGAGGACAGGCAGTACGAGCTTGCTTTCCTTTCCGAGGCCGCTCCCCATCTCTGCTCCATGCTCCTAGTCCCAAAGGGTGACCAAGACGCCTTCGACATCCCGACCCCTCGCACTTACGCTGAGGCCACCTCAGGCCGCTAGGACTCTCAGTGGATAGCTGCCATGGAGCAGGAGATGGCATCTTCGAGGTCCACTGGCACTTACATCGACGCAGTTTCCCCTCCTGGGGTAAACGTAGTCGATGGTTGGTGGCTCTTCAAGGTGAAGCGCCCCCCTGGAGAGCCGCCTGTGTTCAAGGCGCGCTATGTGGCTAGAGGCTTCAGTCAGCGCAAGAGGGTTGACTTCTTCCAGACCCTCGCCCCGACCCCGATGATGACCACTCTTCGGGCGCTGCTACACGTAGCAGCACAGCGCGACTACGAGCTTCACTCCCTCGACTTCTCTACTGCCTTTCTTCAGGGCAGCCTACACAAGCAGGTCTACCTGCGCCGACCACAGGGCTTCACTGGTACCATCGCCCCTGGGACCCAGTGGCCTCTCAGGCGCCCGGTCTACGGCCTGCGTCAGGCTCCTCGCGAGTGGCACGACACACTGCGAGCCACGTAAGCAGACCTGCAGTTCCTTCCGTCCTCTGCTGACCCCTCGCTGTTTGTGCGTTCCGGCCAGACTCCGTTCTACATCCTTGTCTACGTAGACGGCCTGGTCTTCGCTACTGCTGACAGGGACGCACTGGCCTCCGTGAAGGCCGAGCTGCTGAAGAGACACACCTGCACTGACCTCGGAGAGCTGCGTCGCTATCTTGGCCTGCAGATCTCTAGGGACAGAGCAGCACGCACCATCACTCTGACACAGTCACACTTGGTGCGCCAGGTCCTTCAGAGGTTCGGTCTTCAGTTCTCCTCCGCACAGCCCACACCTCTACCAGTGGACCATGGGCTCTCCGCTCCCGTTCCTGAGGAGCCAGTAGAGCCCAGTGGCCCCTACGCAGAGCCGGTGGGTTGCCTCATGTACCTGATGACTTGCACTCGCCCAGATCTCGCATACCCTCTCAGCATCCTGGCTCGCTTTGTGGCTACAGGCAGACACCGATCTCAGCACTGGTCTGCCGCTAAGAGGGTTTTGCGTTATCTTGCAAGTACATCAGGCATGGGGTTAGTGCTAGGAGGATGCAGGCCAGTGGTCCTCACTGGGCACACAGATGCTTCTTGGGCAGATGACTCTGAGACTCTCAGGTCGTCTCAGGGCTACTGTTTTAGCCTTGGTTCAGGTGCTATCTCTTGGAGATCCACTCGTTCGTCGTCCGTTGCTCAGTCCAGCTGTGAGGCTGAGATCTACGCTGGTGCCATGGCAGCACAAGAGCTCCGCTGGCTGACCTTCTTGCTCACTGACTTAGGTGAGCGGCCTAGCTCTGCCCCGGTCCTGTACGCTGACAATAGGGCCATGATCCTCCTATGTCAAGAGCCTCGACTTGAGGGCAGAGCGACGCACATCCAGCTGCGGTACTTCCTCCTGCGTGAGCTACAGCAGCGTCGCCAGGCCCGCCTAGTTCACTTGGCCTCCGGTGCCAACACAGCTGATATCTTTACTAAGGCGCTTGCGCCTAAAGATCATCAGCGGCACTGTGTACAGCTTGGTCTTGTTCCTGTAGCTACTCACTTGTTAGGACCCTGATTGTGTACCCTCTACTACATATAGCTGTCTGACTGGTCTTGTGGCCTTACCTTCAGGGGCAGGACTAGTAGTGCCACCCTGGCTTGCTTTAGTCTTGTTTGTACTCTTGCTGACTGGTTTCCGGACCTCTGCCTCAGTGGTTGGACAAGTAGTGCCACCCTGAGATGTGTGCTTCTTACTTAGCACCACCCCTTCCCTAGCCTAGGGGGTATGTCAACTTATACATATGCTGTATGTAGAAGTTATTGGCTAGCCTTGGTGTGTGCTTCTAGTGAGTACAACCCCAATAGGTATATGTTCTAGGTTTCTCACACTAGTCATTCATTCTCGCATTCTAACAATAGAAGCAACCACGTGCACTAAAACATCCATATTAGTACTACGCAAAGATCCATATTCTAAGACATCCATATTAGTACTACGTAGAGATTTGTACGCTATTACCGATATGTAAGTAGCCCAAAGAGGGCAGGCATCCATGACTCATGTTGGTTTACTCCAATATTAGGTTCATGGGTTCAGTGGGTTGGCATGGTTCCACGCATACGCAACTATCGTAAGAACCCGGATATAAGACCCCCAAGTAATAGAAGACCCCGGGTCTTCTATTAGGCGCTTATCTTATGGTTACCCGATTTTTTGCCCCTGGATCTAGGACCATTTGGATTATTTCTCAACGGTATGTGATAAGACCCATGGGTCTTATATCCGGGCAAATATGGTAGCACGAGAAAGCCCGCGGTCAATGCGACCCACGCCATAGCGTTATCTGCATGAAGCAAAATTACGTAAGAACACAACTTTGCCAGCCGATGCCAGGAACTCGAAGTATGATGAGACGATGCGTTTACCACGTACCTTGCTGCAGCTTTATCAGCCTTGGCTGACTGTCAATTCCCGACTCGGACTCCGAACCATCTCCCCTTGCCGCTGCTGCTGCCATCCTGTCGATTTCTTCCATATCGATCGACACCCCCCCAAAGGTCTTTCTGGACGGGGCCCGAGATGTGAAGGGGAAACGGAATGGCGGGAGGGAGTCAGAGAACTTGAAAAACGAGGGTGGCAGCCAGCTTGGTTTTGTCGATGCTTCTTCCCTGCATTCGTCGATGCTTCTGTTGCTGTCAGCAGTTGTAAACCTCTCGAATGGTGGATCTGATGTTGGTAAATCTGGGGATGTTTGTTGGTTGGACTATTGGGTACCCTGTCCTACTGTCTCAACCAATAATGCTGCTGCTGGTGCACCTGCCCCTGCTGCGGCTGCTGCTGGTGCAGCTGCCACTGCGGCTGCTGCTGCTGCCGATGAAGGCATGATTAGCACGGCTTCTATTGGGATTGCGCTTCCGGGAGATTGATTTGGTAGTGAGGAAGAAACAGGTGGGTTCGGAGGATCCTGTGGCATGCGCTTGATAGGTATGGGAGGGAGGCCTAGAACAGTAGGTAGGTTAGGAGTAGCTGGGAGCAGAGGAGGTGGGACGGTTGACTCACCGTTGGCTGCATTTGACCTGACAGAGCATTTGCAGAAGAAGGTGAGTTGGGGGGGTGGGGGAAGGGGGTTCAGGCTCCTCAAAGGTTTAGTGGGATCAGGAAGGAGGGGAGCCGGTAGAGTGGACTCATTGTTGGCCCCATTTGACCTGACAGAAAGGGTGCAGAAGCAGGTGGGTTATAGAGAAGGGTGGGAATGAGGGAGAGTCTTGAGACGTCTCAAAACAGGGGCTGTGGACTCACTGTTGGGCGCATTGACTGGAAAGAACGTTTGCAGAAGCAGGAGGGTTAAAGGGCGGCTGGGAATGGAGGGGGGTAAGGGTAAGTGAGAGGAAACCAGAGAATGAGGGAGGGCTGTAAAGGACGAAGAGGAGGGAGGGATGGAAAGAGGAGTATGAGATTGTGGAGGAGTCTCTGCAAAGTTCGCACAGCAAAACCTTAGTCTCCCCACAGCAATATCTTATTGAAGTCTCTGAGTAAAGTTAACATGTCTTTAAAAACTCCTTTGGACTGTACAGCCATCCCAGCTAGCTTCTCGCATGATGTTAGAGAGTCACTCGTACCCGCACATCCACCTTATTGTCCCTCATATGGCCTCTGGTCATAATTAAACCCCTTTGGCGCTTACTGACCCCAGCTGACCCAGCATTAGCAGAAGTCGACTCAAAAGTAACAGACGACAGTACAGCCATCTCACCGGGACTTTCGCTATGACTAAAGCCCTTTGAGCCGCCGGATTGCACAACGACCCGAACGAGGGTAGCATAAGCGAGGGTAGTACGCGCAACGAGGCGATTCGCAACGTGACGATCATAGCGCACGTGAATCACGGCAAGACGACGCTCATGGACCGCCTCATCCGCACCTCCAGCTCCACCGCTGCTACCACCGCCGCCAGCGGCGGCGGCGGCGGCGGCGGTGGGGGAGGGGGAGGGGAAGGGGGAAGGGGGAGGGGGAGGAGGGGGAGGAGGGGGAGGAGGGGGAGGAGGGGGAGGAGGGGGAGGAGGGGGAGGAGGGGGAGGAGGGGGAGGAGGGGGAGGAGGGGGAGGAGGGGGAGGAGGGGGAGGATGGGGAGGAGGAGGGGGAGCAGGTGGCGGGGGTTTGGCGGCAACCGATTTGCCGTGCGATCGAACACGCATCACACATGCAAGCATCCCACAGGTAAGCATCGCACACGCAAGCATCGTACATGCAAGCGTCACACATGCAAGCGTCGTGCGTGCAAGCGTCACGCATGCAAGCGTCGCACATGCAAGCATCACACACGCAAGCATCGCACATGAAATCATCGCACACGCAAGCATCGCACACGCAAGCATCACACACGCAAGCATCGCACATTGCAAGCATCGCACATGCAAGCATCGCACATGCAAGCATCGCACATGCAAGCATCACACATACAAGAATCACACATGTAAGCATCACGCATGCAAGTGTCACACATGCAAGCATCCCAAATGCAACAGTCGCTAATGCAAGCATCACATGCAAGTGTTGCACATGCAAGCATCACACATGCAAGCATCACACATGCAAGCGTCCCACATGCAAGCATCCCACATGCAAGCATCCCACATGCAAGGATCCCACAGGCAAGCATCCCACATGCAATTGTCGCACATGCAAGCATCACATGCAAGCGTCACACATGCAAGCATCAGACGTGCAAGCATAGCAGCTACGTCCCATCCCATCACATAATCACCACTTCCCCCTGCTCCCCTTCCTCTTCCCCTACCCCCTCCCCTTCCCCTTCCCCTTCGCCCTCCCCTTCCACTCCCCCCTGCTCCCCTTCCCCCTCCCCTCCCCTTCCCCCTCCCCTTCCCCTTCCCATTCCCCTTCCCCTTCCCCCTCCCCTTTCCCTTCTCGTTCCCTTTCCCCATTCGTATCCCCTACCCCTCCTCCTCCCCTACCCCTCCCCCTCCACTTCCCCTTCCCCTCCCCTCCCCCGTTCCCCTCGCCTTCCCCTTCCCGCTTTCCCTGTCCACCCTCCACACCCGCCTCCCCAGGCAAGTCCAGGATGCAGTTTCTGCTGCCAGCGGCTTTTGAGGCGCCTCAAAAGTGGTTTCTGCTGCCAGCGGCTTTTGAGGCGCCTCAAAAGTGGTTGCTTCTGCCAGCGGCTTTTGAGGCGCGTCAAATAAGGTTTCTGCTGCCAGCGGCCCTCACCCTGGCCAACACTCGGATTCCGAGCAACCCCCTGCAGTGAGAGTGCTCCAGCTGCCGCCTCGTCTCTTGGGTGCCATCCTTACATGCTCCTCTTTTTTTCCCACTTTTCCCCTCTTTCCAGCCTCCACGGCCACCTCCCTAGGCAAGACCACGATGCAGTTCCTGCTGCCAGCGGCCCTCACCCCGGCAGGCACGCCCGTCCCCACCAACCCACCAGTGCAAGTGCTTCAGCTGCTGCCTCGCCTCCTGGCTGCCGTTACTTTCTCTGGCCTTAGAACCCACTCCGTGCTCGAGCACAAGTCCCAAGAGCTGATGAGCGTGCTTGAAGCGGCTGGTTATAGAATCGGTGGGGATTATGTGGTTGGGAGGTACAACCCGCCATTCACCCTTCCGTTTATGAGGACGAATGAGATTCTGTATCCAGTGGAAGAGTAATTCTGTGGAGTCCGCTGCAGGCCCCCAAATTGCAGACTTTTTACTCTGATTCAGACTTTTTTCAGAGTTTTGTAGGGGGTGTACTCTGATTCCAAAGACTTTTTTTTGTATTTTACTCTGATTTTTCAGAGAAGTTTTACGTACCTACACTGATTTTTCATACTTCTTTTACTAGTGTACTCTGATGCTTCATCCTTGTATGGGGGGGGGGACTCTGATTCCTGTAATACCGTCATTTTAGGGGGGGCTGCGAGATTTGCGCTGGCACCTCTGTGGTCACCGTCAATCACGCCCGATTTACATTTGCGCTGGCGCGGCCCGAGCCGTCGGGCGGGCAAATTTTGTGCGATGGCGCCAGCACAGAGATAACCCGAGCAGCCGATTGGTCCTTGACCAAAAAACGGTTGTTTCCGCCAATCCATAGGCATTTTGTTGGGTGAGGCACAGCAGACGAGGCACCGCACCCATGCTGACGCGAGGAGTGCCTGGTTCATGCATGGACAGCATCACGCGACGAGTGCCTGGTTCATGCATGGACAGCATATTGCACGCCGCAAAGGAGTTGCAGCTGGCAGACCCCCTCCTTCTCCATCAGTTCTTTACTGACGGGGAAAACGACCCTGCTTCTCCCCCCTCCAGCAAAACTTCAGCCAAGCTTCGTGTAGCTCCTCGATTTTCTTTCAGTGCGTTTGTTTTCCCACCGCGCCTGCAGGCCATAGAGCAGGCCAGCCTCGATGAGGACGTAGACGAGGCAGATTATGACGAACAAGACGAAGAGTACTGGTGTGCCGAGAATTTCCGCGATGGTCCGGCCGCACTAAATTTCCTGCGGCAATCGGATGCCTCAGATCGAAGCCCTCAGAGGAAGCATGGTGACGCTGCCCCTGCTGATGGCGATGCACCTGTTCCCGACGCAGCGGGCAAGAAGTCTGTGGATGCAAGCCCCCTGCCCGCTGCTTCAGCTCCTGTCGCCGGCACCACGCCGTCGGTGACGGCGGCAAAGAGGTTCCGGTACAGGCAGGTGATTCTGCCGTACGCCTCCACGTCGACATGCCAGGATCCGCCTGAGCCTGTGCCGAGCCCCTTTGTACCTGCGGATTTGCCAAAATCGTCTGGCGGTAGGTCCACTGCTAGAACGAACGAGGACATCTATGCTGAGGCACAAGAGCGTTTCAAATCTCGCTGGTCTGACAGATTCCCTTGGCTCATGCTCTTGAAAACTGACGATGGGCTCCCGACTTTCAAGTGTAGTGTATGCGCAGTGCATGCAGGACCTGTAGGGCGTACCGGCAAAACGGGCAAGGGAGCAAAGGACGTGCAGACCCAGTCGTTCAAGAAGCATGCCGGGACGCAGAAGCATCGCCTCGCTCTGTCCAAGCAGGACGATCTCCTGCAACAGGCGTCGAACCAGCAGCGGATCGACCTGCATCCCCGCGCACCCGACGAAGAGAAGGAGCGAGTCATCGCGCTGCTCGACTCCCTCTACTTCTGCGCCGAGTATAACGAACCCATGGAAACATGGATTCGTTTGGTGTGATACCTCTCATCGCGCAGTTTCAAGGGCTTCCCGAAGTCTGCCTACGGCACGTACTATAACTGGTGAGAACTCCAGTGACTATGAACTTCTCTTTGTCTCGTCTTTACATATGAAATGTTCAACAACTTGCCTTGTGCGTGCCATGTAACAGGTACGGCTTCGGCGAGCTGTTACAAGCGACGGCAACGTGGCTGCAGACGACTCAACTCCAACACCTGCTGGCGAGTCCCTACATTGGCCTGAGCCTCGACGAAAGCACCGATCGCTGCCGTGGCAAGCACATGATAGTGTTTGCCACGTTCATCCGGGAAGGGCGGCTTGTAGCCGAGTACCTGGCTCTGTTGACGGTGGAGAAGGCGGATGCGGCATCGCTTCTCGCCCTCTTGTTGTCCCATCTGCAAGCGATTGGCGTCGACCTCGGCCGCATCTCCGGCATAAGCACAGACGGCGCTGCCGTCATGATGGGAGCGCGCTCTGGACTTGTGGCCCGCCTTCGTCTTCGCGTCCCGCACCTTGTCTCTTGCCATTGCATTGCCCATCGGTTCGTCATCCGTTTGTTGTGTGCCATTCATGTATATTTGCTCGTTTTGTTTATAATTGCAATTCCTAGTTTGCTTCCTAGTTTGCATCTGTTCTCCTTATCCCACGCAGAGAGGCGCTGGCGGCAAAGGCTGCTGCCGAGAAGATCCCCGTCTTCAGCATGGTAGACAACATCATTCGCGAGATCGCTGAGCTGCTCGGTCGCTCCAACCCTTGGCATCAACGGTTCCTGGAGCTCCATGAGGTGTTCATGTCGACGAACCTCAAGCTCCAGGGCATCCACAACATCCGCTGGCTGTCGCGCGGAGATGCTGTCATCCGCCTGGTCGAGGTCCTACCAGCCATCGTGGTCATGCTGCAGGAGTACGACGCCAAGCTGTACGCGCTCGTCACCAGTTACCGCTTCTGGCTCCTCCTGATGTTCCTCGCCGACGTGCTCGAGCTGCTGAAAGTCCTCAACAAGGTCTTCCAGCAGCGGGAGGTGAATATGTTTAATGCTTGTGTTTGCATGCATGTCGATATTGTTTGTCTCTGCCGCACGTCCCTTAACCACACATCCCTCGGTGATGCCCTAGCTGTCCTCGCCCCCCTACCCACCAGCTAGACTACACAACGGTGCACGCGCAGATCATCCGCACGACCTCGCTGCTAGAGAGCCGCTACGTGGACTGCGGAGACGACTTCACCGGCGGGCCCAACGATCGATTGACGCGGTTCCTCGCCAATCACGGGCCCGGCAAGTCCAAGCTTGTGACAGTGGAAGGGATTGACTCCGATGGCCGACCTTCACGGTTCACATTCGAGCTCCACGAAGAGCCCCACGAGGACTACCCGGGGCCCAGCGACCACGATGGGAGTGTCGTGGCGTGCATGGCTTTAGCGGAGGGCCTGGTCTGCAACCTCGACGAGCGCCTAGGCGATCTGCGGTAGCTGTCGGGAGCGCGCCTGTTCAGCGCCGACACATGGCCGCCCAACTGGGACCGACACGCACGGAGGACGCAGTGCCTCGAGTGGTTCAATTCGTTCGTGGTCAACTACCACGCTAAAGACAGGGACGAGATTCTGCCAGGTACATTTGTTTACTCGTATCAGTATCCATCTGTCACTGTATTTGAAACAAGACACATATCTTTTCCTAAACCCTGTTTCAGATTACCCAACCCTTCTCCTTTTCCTTGTGTTGTGTGCCCTTGTCTGATCAGGTATAGACAAGCGCAAAGCCCAGAGCGAGCTCCGCAATTTCGTTCCCGTCCTTGCTGCGCTTCCCAAGGCGGACAAGTCATTCCACGCGGGGCTGAGCGCCATGCTCAAGACGCAGGACTGGAGGGACAGCTACCCCAACCTGGTCAACTTGTGGGTGGCAGTGGCTGTCCTTCCGTTGAGCACCGTCGAGTGCGAGCGCGGGTTCTCCCGCTAGAACGTCATCACGAGTTGGCTGCGGGGAGCTCTCAAGGATACTAGGTTAGGAGATCTGATGTGCATGTCGCAGCTAGAGTATGACCCCGACTGGCAAGAGGTGGTCACCATCTGGCGGGCTTATAAGAAGAGGAAGCCCCTTAGCAACGCCCTCCCCGAGGCTAGTAGAAGCAGGAAGGGAAAGGAGAAAGTAGATCATGATATGCCGGCAGTGTCAAACATATCTATAACTCATGTTTGTATAGACTGTATAGGGTCACATCTTAGAGGGTACAACACTCTTAGGTATATACCCTTGTACTCTCACTCTAGTCAATCACTTCTTCAGTTCTGAGATGGTATCAGTAGTAGGTAGGTCCCCTCGCCCACCCACGCTTCAGCCCTAGGACCTACCCCCGTCCGTCGCGCCTCCTAGGCCCCGTCGCGTCACCTAGGCCCTGTCGCGCCCCCTGGGCCCCGTCGCGCCCCCCCTGGGCCCCGTCGCGCCCTGCCTGGCCCCGTCGCGCCTCCTAGGCCCCGTTGCGCCCTGCCTGGCCCCGTCGCGCCCTTCCTGGCCCCGTCTCGCCTCCTAGGCCCAGCAGCAACAGCACCAGCAGCAGCCGTCGCAGCAGCCGCAGCCACCTCCGCAGCCGCATCAGCCGCCGCAGTCGCAGCAGTTGAGGCAGGCGAGTGCCCTCCCGCCCGGGTGGCCTGGAGCTGGTGGTGGCCGTGCGCGCGGTGGTGTGCCGGGCAGTGGTTCCGGCGGCGTGCACTGTCAGTACCAGATCCAGACCGGTCCTCGCCGCGGCTTCGTTTGCGGTAAGATCGGTCATTCCACTCTTCGATGTTTTCGTCGCTTGGACGACTTGTTCCGTCAGCGCTTCGGCCAGTCGCCCGACCTCCCGGACTGGCACAGTTTGCTTAGGCGTCAGGTTCCGATTTTTTATTTGGACATGGATGCCATTGTAGCCGCCCTGCATGTGATGTATGCTGATGACTCTAGTGTGCTTCCCTCTTATTACCCCTTTTTGCCTAGTGTAGGTGTGCCTAACTTAGAATCCCCTGCTGCGTCAGGCGTAGGATCTCCTGCTTTGTTTAGCCTTGGTGCTTCCGCCGCTTCTACGCCGCCAGACGCCACTGCTGCGCTTTCCTTCACCTTGGACTCTGGCGCTTCCCGGTGTTTCATCCGCGACTCCACCACGCTGACGCTGCTTCCTGTTCCTGCTGCAGTTTCTCTTGCTGACCCCTCTGGCGGTCCGGTAGTCGCCCGCAGTTCCACCACCCTTCCCTGTCCGGCGGTTCCTTCGGGCTCCCTCACAGGTCTGCATATCCCCTCGTTCTCCAGGAACCTAGTTGGTGTCGGCTGCCTCCAGGACCTTGGCGTCACCACTACGTTCCCTGGTCACGAGCGGTATGCTGTCTGTACCGAGGCCGCCACTGGTGCCCCCCTTACCACGTTCCCCCGGGACCCGGTGTCCGGCCTGTTCACACTTGACACCGTCACCCTCCCGGCTGGGACGCCTCCCCAGGTGG